TTTCCAACGTCAAACATATTTGCAATGCTTCTGAATTCAGCTGATGAGCCAAGACAGTAAAGTGCAATTGCAATTCGTTTTCTCAAACAAATTGCATACCTAAAGCTGGTGTCTTGCTTTTGCAGATTTTTCAAAAGATGGCATAGCTCATTGAAAGATTCAATGCTCATGCGAAAATTTTCTTTAAAGAACTCAGGGCCATTTTTTTGGCAATCTTCTTCCCAAAACTTCTTCGCTCTTTTCTAAAATACCAACTCATTTAAATTTTCGTCTTTATAATAATATTTACTGCCCGTACTTACCAAAGTCCAGCACTTCCTTTGCTTTCTAGCAATCATTGAAGAAAGCATTCTTATTTGTTGATTTTGAATATTTTGAATTTGTTTATAAATCATTGCATTTGTTTTTGTATATGCACCAACTGTCGCGTTTATATTGTGAACAATATCACAAACATTATATAATAAATTATTTAAATTTTCTGCGATTTCCATGCTGACTTATTTTTTTCTAACAATACAAAATTTAATGTCATCTGCTTACAATTAAAATGTAAACAAACAAAAGCTCTAAAACTAGAACTTTTTGACACATAAAAGCTCTTTCTCATTTCTTAAGTAACTTGTGATAATGTAAACGACCAAAAGACTCAATGTTAATATATGCTTACTAACAGTAGCGAGGCGTCAGCTTTTTGGCAAGGTGTTCACAATTTAATCAAAACAGAATTCCAACTATAACGTATTCCCCCTACTTCTAAGTTTTGTCCTTTCCACAAGCAAATAGCGTACAAGACCAATAAAACAATTTATTTAAATGTTCGCAGCCTGTGATCCACTGGTTTTTATTTACCATAAAGCTATAGCTGTAGGAAAACGACGACTTACCATAGATTTCGACATTTTTACAACAGGTATCAAATTCTTCATATCTGGAGTTGGTTTATTCATTTTATGAATTAAAATCTTTTTTCAGAAGATCGTTTAAAAAATAACATTGAATCAAATTTTTAATCACACATTTATTCATTTCTAAATATTATTTTTCACTTCAAATTTCTTTAATCTCTTTCTTTACTTTTACCATTTTCTAGTATAAAATTGCAATAATGACTGTTTTGATTTATTTTCAACCTCTATATAAGAGTAAGAAACTCTCATGCATTCATTTACTCTTTTACTTTGTATTTACAATGCCCGGTTCAGTTTTTATACTGAACCATTTCCCCATATAAAACAGCAACCGTGACTTTGATTGTATTTGCACGCTTTGTATAAACTTTTGGTTCAGTTTAGTGGAATGATCCTCTCGTCAAATGTAAAGCGATTTTCGCTCAGTCATTTCTTTTCTCTTTTGTATTTACTTTGCATAACATTGGGAGTGCACTTTTTTTATTGAACTGCTTGCACGCATTAATTTAAGAGTTAAGATTATTTTACGTACATATATTTGTTTGTATGTTTTGTGTTGTGTATTCAATATTGAACATAGTCCCAATGTGAATGTTATTTTAATTTTGAACCTTAGTATATTTTAAGAGGAATGTGTTTTCTCTTTTATTAATTGTAAGTAATGTTGGGTGTAACTAACACATGTGTGATTTTGTTTGTATTCTACGTTTTGTGTTTATGTTAATATGTTTGGAAAAGCTCCCAGTAGAAAAAGTGGTCTTCGAAGACATTGTCTTCAAGACGGTCTTTGATACCGCGTCCGCATTTTCAAGCAAATTTGCAAAACAATTGCTCAAAACATGAATGTAAATACTCTTTATTTGCTTTCTCTCTCATTTTTAGTGTTCATAGCAACGTATTTGAATTTTGCCTCAGATGACGCTATGTTTTATAAATGAAGTGACGCAATAATTTTGAAGTGTAGTGAATAAATATATTGTGAAATAAATATTAAAAAAATCAAAATGAATAAAGAAACAATATCATTAAACTATGAAATATTAAAAAAAAAGAAATTAAATCAATACAAATTAAATAGTGACTTAGTTCCTGAAAAATATATTGATATTAATATTGAAGACAATAATTCCAGTGAAAGTTGTTTTAGAAACGAAACAAAGGATGTTGAAAATAAAAAAACTGAAAACACTTGTGAAAAATTAGCTGTTATATTTAAAAAACACAGGATTAACAGGCGTTGTGGTAATGATATTTTAGAACTCTTAAGATCAGAAGGTTTAATTGTACCAAAATCCTTTTCAACGCTTTTGAAAACATATAAAACTTCAACAATAGATGATAGCGAAATGCTATAAATTATTTTATATTAGTTTTAGTTAATTTTAGATATGTTAAGTTATATTAAGTTAATTATTTAAATTAATTTTCACTATGTTTACTAGTTTTTACTAGTTTATTTTTAATATCTTAATAAAATTTATAATAATTTATAATAAAATTTATAATTTACTTTTAAAACTTTTAATTTTGAATGTAATGTAAGAAATTATTATATAAAATAAATAAAAGTACAAAATACAACAATTTCTTTCTACTTATTTAAAGAGAAAATTGAAATTCATTTAAAATTTAAAGAGCGCAATAAAAGAGTAGAAATAAAAAAAGGGTGAAAAAATTATATGAGCACTGCACTAAGAGCGCACAACTTTCTGTCGAATGCGTCCGTTATGCAAGACATGGTCTTCGAGACGGTCTTCGAGACATGTACACAAAAATTCATTGAAGACATTTGGCTAATTTGTATGAAAGTGTCTTCGAAGACCGTCATACATTTGGATCGATCGGTCTTCATGTATGTATCCATGTCTTGAAGACGTCTTCGATGACGGATCGATCCGTTTTCTACTGGGTTATATCTATATCTATATCTATATCTATATCTATATCTATATATCTGTATCTATATCGATACGGACGGTTTTATTTGTTGTGATATCTTTTTATTTACTTATATAGTATTGTTTAATATACGCCAATAAGCATTACTAGTTAAAGGTCGCTTTAATTTGAAGTACAGACACCCACCTGCTGGTTTCTCGGTCAAAACGGTGTCTCGTCGTGGATTGTACTTAACTTCGTGCTTACTCTTGACTTTTCCGATACAGAAAGTTATATCACTAGTTTAACTACCACCTGCATCGCTTTTGAAGTCATTGCTTTACTATGTCCTTCAACACGATAAGTCGGCATTCCTCGAAGATGTATTGGAACAAAAAAATAATTTTGGTACATAATATCACTTTTTCTACACGAACTCCAACATCATCATATGTGAAATATTGATAAGATTTTTTTGCTTTAAGTCGTATATTAACAAATTAAATAAATAAACTAAATATTTTTTTATTACTCACACTTTTAATTTAATTTTTATTTTAAATTTCGTTTGATAAGTAGACTGTTTAATGCTTTAAAAATATCATCTTAAATGTATTAATAGCTATATTTATTTATATTATTTAATTACTTTTAATTTAAATTACAAATGTGGTATGCTCTTCAAAACAGTATGTATGTTTATACTATTTTTTATTAATTTTTATTGCATAATTACACTTAAACTTTAGCCTCTCTTAATCATCAAGCATAAATTCTTAACCTAAGTTGATTGCACACTTTTATGGATTTGTCTGCGGGGTTCCACATTACAAACATTTTATATTCAAGAGTAATAAAAATGAATATCTTTTATTAAATAATGTATTTGAAATCAGTGTCTACACAATTATTGAAGATACTTTGATGTCTGCACTGCTTATGCTGTATAAGACGCGCATATATCTACAATGTAATTTGAAGATGGCATTTAATTTTCTAACCACAGGTTGCAAGTAACTCTGAATTCATAATTATTTTTAATTAAGCATTAAAGTTTATTTTTTTTTAGCAATAAAATATCAATTTTATTTAATAACTATTTTATTTTATAAAAATAATAGTTCAAAGAGCAACATATTCAGTTTTGTTAACAATAATAATCATTAAAAATTTGTAAATAACATATAAATATCTATTATTTCTAAAATTTGTTTGGATATGAGAGCACTTTATATTTTATTGATTATTTTTTTTTTTTAATCTAAGCTGACTAAGCTGATTTAACTAAGCTGATATATATTGTAATGTATGTTAAGATAAACTAAAGTTCAAATGGCCGTTAACTCAAAAAAAAAAACTAAATATTTAAAGAAGTGCCAGCTAATAGCACTAAAAACTTAAAAAATGAGAAGAATACAAATTTCATTTTCAATATTAAAAGGCTGAAGATATTTCAACTATTAAGAATATTAATTAGAAAATATACAAAACTAATTTCAACTTTTGATAGTATTTTACGCTTAACGTAATGTTTTGCAATAAATTCAGTATTTAATACTTGAATAATGGATATAAAAAATATTTATTTGCTTTCGGGCACATCCATAAAAACAGTATAGGTGGTCTCTTGTTTTCCAACCCTATTGGAACCATTTGGCTTCAACTTTGAATAGGAGTTGAATCATAATTCATTTATAATTGAACATTTTGTGAAAATATGAGTATAAATAATATTATATATTGCAAGAGATACTTTATGTAAATATATCCTCCACCACAAGTACTGCAATTTCACACGCAAACCTCAGAGTATTAATTATTAATTTTCTACCATGAAATAGAAATTATAACCGCAGTTTAAGTAAAGTTAAATGAATTAAGTAAAAACATAAAAGCAGAGGTCATTGTTGTTGAAACTTAGTACAATAATTGTTTTTCACACATTTTTCATTTTCTTGCTGGAAAATACTTCTGTAATTCTGTGAATGTCTTCAAGTCGTTTGTAATAAGAAAACACAATAATTCCAAGTATGTACGAGTATATAAAACGCTCTAGTACCTTTTGCTAGTTTTTCAGGTGTTGCACTTGAGTACCCCTCATATTTTCCTCTTATTCAAACAGACACAAAAACTTATTGCATTGTCTAGTTTGTTTTTAGTTTAGAGTTCGCTATTAATTGGATTCGTTTTAAATTTTTAAAATTTGTTTTTACATTGTTGAATGGGATTGCACTTTTTTCTACTTCCGAACTATGTCAAGGGCTTTGAAATTTTCAATTATCTACATATAAATAAAAAAATAATTTTATTTTCATTGCACTTTTGCTTTTTTAGGAATGCACTTTTGCATTTTGAAACGCGCTCAAGTGATTGAACTTTTAACTATTCTAATTGATTATGTGCTAAAGTTTTTAACCCAGTTGATTTCTCTCTTTGTCAACTGAAATAGTTTACATACTTATAACATTATAAGGAATGTAATGTATAGAAAATATGTACTGAAAATGTATATAATCAAAAAAAATAAAAGATAAAATTTTGAGTACAAATTTTATGATTTATAAATTTTATGATTGCGATGTATTTTTTAATTTATCTTTATTTTCGTCTATACAATATTAAAGAAACACTACACTTCTGAACTCCCATTGAAATAATAAATTTTCATTGTCACGAATATAGTAACCTATACATATTGTACGGTATCGTACTTTAT